GTTGTTTGCAGTCTAAACAAAGGTGTAGTTACTGTTTTTTTACCACAGCGTTGTGTACAGGTATGATTAAATCAGATCACTTTCAAATCAAAAAGGAAATTACTAAATGCTATATTTTGGGGGAGGGGACAGATTAGCAGTTTGGTGTTGCAAAAGCTCTATATGTGATTAAGTTGATTTTTTAAAAGTCTTTTGAGTTATAAGTTAACCAATTTCTGAGTTATCATATGATTGAAACATGAAACAGTATGACATTTAAAATGTTGTGGTGCTCAAAACTAGTTACTGTTATAATTCATAGGAAAATTACTGCTTAGTTGTATTCTTTACTAAATGCTGTCACAGCTATTAAAACTGACGATTTTGATTTAAACCTGTCATTTGTGGTATGAAGAAATGGAAGTGCAAACACTTTCACATTGTCATAGAACAAGGTCAACTTTGTATTGTTTGTTATTCACCATAGTCTATAAAGACTCCATAAGTCTAGCAGGATGTGCAAATATATATATATATATATATATACATATACACACACACATATATATACTTATATACATATATATGTACATATATACACACTTTGGGTGTGTTTAGTAATAAATGAAATCCATTATGTAAGACTGGAGAAAATTATTTTACTTAAAATTATGATTTTAAGTATTTTGTAGTGTTATCCAGAATAACGTAGCTGTCAGGTACTTACAGATTATATAGCCCTTTTCTGTTTCTCCTGCAGGGTTTACGGTTTTGGCTGCTTCTTTGTACCCATGTTGTAATGGGTTTAGGGTCATAGGGAGGATGTAAGTCATGTACCTTATGGTAGATATTTTTGTCCTCAAGTGACCTCATTATTGGTTTTTATATCTAGTCCTCAAAGTCTTTTATGTGACTCAGTCATATTTAACTTTGCAGATGATAAGAAATTCATAAACAAGATTTAACTTTCTTAAGCTCATAAGTAACTTGTGTTTCATTCTGCACAGTGCCTTGGTAACTAGCCAAGGATTTTGTGCCTCCTAGTAGTTCTCATCAGATCAGGAGCTGGAAGAAGGAGGCCTACTTTTGACCAAACATAGGTCAAAAAGAATTGGTTTCAGCCGGTTGATGGGAAATTTTAGGGGGGGAGGCGGCAGCGGAATCTCTGCAATCAATGTGGAGCTTCAGAATTTCTTCAGGTAACAAAAAGTTGCACATAGATTCTATTCCAGTGATAAAAATGAAACCAATTGTTCAAATAAGAAATTTAATGTGAAAGATGATCTCTAAAAAATTTTTTTTGATGTGCTTTTTTATTATACATGCTTTTTTTCTTATCTAGCAGTGCCATTTATAGAATTGAATTTAATACATTTGTTTTTAACAAAAGGTGCTTAATAAAGGATTTAATTTCTAAGTAAGTAACAGGGCAGGAAAATGAAAGAAAAAAATGCCCTTTTGTTTTTATATGTTCCTTTTTATAGTATATTCAAAGCTGTAGTATATTTAAAATTGTTATTTTTGTTTAATAGTAAAAACAACAGATAACTACTAGTGTTTTTTGGAAGATATGTTGCAGTTATTTGGTTTTTTTTTTACTTTAGTGAGTAAAGCTAAATGCAAGCTTTAAGAGCTATATTCTTTTTATTAAGAGGTCTATTCTTAATACCTGTGTTAAATTAAGCAGGATTTAATCTGATCATTATTCTTTCTTATGCTTCCTAAACCTCTTTATTTTACTTTCTGATACATACATATATGTGTGTGTGTGTGTGTGTGTGTGTGTGTGTGTATTTGACATTAAAAATGTTTATTTTTGAGAGAGACAGTTTGCATTTGGGAGAGGAACAGAGAGAAAGGGAGACAGAGGTTCTAAAGTGGGCTCTTCTCTGGCAACAGAGAGTCTGATGCAGGGCTCAAACTCATGAACCATGAGATCATGACCTAAGCCAAAGTCAGACTGAGCCACGCAGGCACCCCTGATATTTTTCTGTTATTCCAGAGCTTTTGTTTTCTTTCATAAGTTCTTTTAGCATCCTCTGCTATTTTTTTTAAGTTACTTTGACATATCTTATTATGATTATATAATATTGCACTACATTGTGCAATGTTAATTATTAGAATTAGAATTAAAAATCTAAGGCACTACAGTGAAATTTGAAGTTTCCAGTAGTTAGCATTTTGAAATAGTTTGGTTTCTCTGATATCTGCATTAGAGAAGGAACCAGAAAAATATACTAAAGCCTTCCTGACAGTGAATAAGTAGTAGCTCCTAAGCACCTAACATAAATGATATACCCAGAAGAGCCAAACACCTGAAGTCAATCCTGACACAGTGTACTTTTCTGGTTTGTCACAATGGATTACTCAGGTTGGCTGGTGATGTTGCACAGGCCCTGCTTTTTTATTTTTTGAGAGAGAGGGAGAGAATCTTACATAGGTTCCATGCTTGCCTAGAGTGGAGCCTGATGCTGGGCTCAATCTCACAACCATGAGATCTTGACTTGAGCCCAAATCAAGAGTTTGACATTGACATTTAACCGACTGAACCACCCAGGTGCACTTCATAGGTCCTTCTTTTTATGTGAAAGCTGAAAGTGTGGTGGACGAATTAAGGAAGGACAAAAGTGTCAGAAAAGGGACCACAGCAACTTTGATTATTGGTGCAGGCATGGTAGTTATTAGATATAGTAGATACTTGTGCAGTCCATGTTCCAAATAGGACAAAGAGAGCCAGTCATAATAAATAGGCCACCTGTTTTCTGGATAGGCAATAATTCATCTGATACCACTGAAGGCTTGGAGTATCTCTAAGGGCTGGAGGTAAAATGGCATTGCCCATAGCAAGGGATTAGGGAAAGAACTAGCCACTACACTAGAGCTTGGGGAATCCATTGTAGGTCAGTGGACGTGGTGGTGGAATGTGGGAGATGGGGACAAATGGGTATTTCTCAGTGGGAACCACTCTGAAGATATAGCAATATATGTCAGTATTTTGGAAGGCATTAAAAGTACAAAAGCAGTGTCCTGTACTTCATAGTGTGTAAGATTTATATCTCTGCTATTTTGTGCTTACTAGCGAGAAGTAGGACATTAAAGAAAATGTTTTCTAAATACATCATTTTTATTTTGTTATTCAATTATATGATTGAGGGAAAAGTCTCTGAAAAAATATGGTTTAAGGTATTCAGAAAGTAATAGGACATCTTAGATTGGCATTAAAAAGTAATTTAAAAAAGAATGTTGCATTGAAAGGGTGTGTGTGTGTGTGTCGGGGTGGCTTGGTTGGTTAAGCGTCCAGCTTCTGTTCAGGTCATGATCTCAAGGTCATGGGTTCGAGCCCTGCATCGGGCTCTGCTGACAGCTCAGAGCCTGGATCCTGCTTCAGATCTGTGTCTCCCTCTCTCAGAAATAAACATGAAAAAGAGTCAGATGTTTAAAGGGCCAATCTTAAGATACCTGGAAAACTCCACTACATAGAATTTCTCAGTAGTGATCTTTTTGGTATTCTTTCCCTTTTCTGGATAGAGTTGAGTCTCCCATCAGGCTGTGTGCATTACTTTTCAGCAGATAGATTTACCACAGTGGCGTGGAGTGTGTTGAATCTGGCTACAGAAGAAGACCTTAACTAAGAAGGGTGTCTTGTTTTATGACCTAGGCAAAAATTCCTGTCATATTTAAGCATTTTCTTGCATAGGCACAGGTGATCAGTTTGACGATGGACTTTCCACCCCCCTTCAGAACATGGGAAATTACTTTTGCAGTATACAAATATGAGAAAATTCAGTTACTGATTGTTGATTCTATTAACCAAACATGTAAAGGCTCATTGTGACTGTCAGGTTGAGTTAAAACAGATCTCCCTGCAGAAATATTATGGTCTTGTCCCCTTAAGGATATTGTGAATTCCAGTTAGGACCCTTTTGATATAGCCCCTTCATTGGTGTTGGTGCTTATTATAAAACATTGTTTTAATTTTATTTTCAGGAAATTTTCAACAGGGGAAATATGAGCCATATTAGCTAGTTCCTCCTGAGGTAAAATAAGAATAGTTAAGAGCATGCATATGCATCAAGTAGCAAATTTATATACATTACAAATAGTTTTGTTAGTATTAACAAATTATTACTATTTCCTGAAAATTATAGATATGCACTTCAGTTTTATGAGAATATGCTAAGATGTATTATCTACTATATTTCATAAGCACTGAACTGATTTACAGAGAATATTGACATGAATTGCTCAATCCCTATCCCAAGTAACTTCCATAACTACCAAAAACTGTAATTAAAAAAAAACCTTTAATAATATACAACCTAATTAATTAAAATAATGAGGGTGGACTTGATGTAATGACAGTTAAAGTGGGAGGGATTACATCAAAAATTTATAGGTAGTATTAGCAGTTCTGGTTTCCTGTTGCATCATTATTTAATATACTTAAAAATTCCTAGAGCTTTGACCAGAGGTGGTAAACCTAATTGTCATATTTTCCCAAATAGAACTTGTAATTGTTTTTCTTTTATGCAGTTATGTTTCTTTTAATCTAAAATTAGTTGAAAAACAAGTTTGCTAAATTACATCAGTGGACCTAGCACAATAGGACTGTTCTGTGTGAAGGAATCTTATCAAGAGGATACTCTTGGGGTATCTGGCTGGCTCAGTTGATACAGGATGCAACTTTTTAAAAAAATGTTTATTTTTGAAAAAGAGCATGAGTGGGAGAGGGAGAGTGGCAGAGAGAGGGAGACACAGAATTGGAAGCAGGCTCCAGGCTCGGAGCTGCAGCACAGAGCCTGACGCAGGGCTCGAACTCAGGAGGAGTGTGCTCATGAACTGAGTTGAAGTCAGATGCTTAACAGACTGAGCCACCCAGGCACCCCAATAGAGCATGCAACTCTTGATCTCGGGGTTGTGAGTTTGAACCCCATGTTGGGTATAGAGACTACTTAAAATATTTTTTAAAAATGCTCTTTAATTTTCTTTCTCACCCCTTTCTCACCCTTTTGTTTTCAAAGAGAAACTGGTAGTCTGGGTAGATTCAAGGCATCTTTAAGAGAAAATGTCCTGGGGAGCCCCAAGGAACTGATGAAGTTAAGTGTGCCATCATTGGTGTATGCTGTTCAGAACAATATGGCTTTCCTAGCTCTTAGCAATCTGGATGCAGCAGTGTATCAGGTAAGTGGAGGTAAATGACAATGAAAAATGTAGAGTCTTAAAAAGTTTTTATGGTGAAAGATTTTTTATTAACCCTTTATCACATTTTTTCTCCATAATCAATTAATAGCAAATATTTGTGTCAGACACTAACATTACCTGAGTTCATTAATTTATTGTTTTGTTTCTAGGTGACCTATCAGTTGAAGATTCCCTGCACTGCTTTATGTACTGTTTTAATGTTAAACCGGACACTAAGCAAATTACAGTGGATTTCAGTTTTTATGCTGTGTGGTGGAGTCATACTTGTACAGTGGAAACCAGCTCAAGCTACAAAAGTTGTGGTAAGAGACAGAATGCTCACCAGAACTAAAATAGAACACTTCCTTAATCTTATAACACTTTAGACAATCACATTGGTGAATGTAGCACATTCCTTTGAAAATAATCTTTGCTCTACAGGTAGGCTTTTTTTACTCCTTTAGGATAATGTTATTATTAATAATAACTTAATTGTTCCAGCCTCCTATTTTTCTGGAGGGGAATATGCATAAAATATGTTAGACATGGAAGGCATCTTAATGCAGTCAACCCCCTTCATTTTATGGATGATAAAACTGAAGTCTTTTTTAAGACAAACCTCAGAACATTTTTTAAAGTTTATTCATCTAGTGTGTGTGTGTGTGTGTGTGTGTGAGAGAGAGAGAGAGAGAGGGAGAGGGAGAGGGAGAGGGCGCAAGTATGCAAACTGGGTGGGGGGGGGGAGAGAGAGAGATTGGGGAGAGAGAGATCGGAGAGAATCCCAAGCAGGTCCCACACTCAGCATGGAGCCTTATGCTGGGCTCGATCCCATGATCTTGATCTGAGCTGAAATCAAGTTGGTCGCTTAACTGAGCCACTCAGACACCACAAAATTGAAGTCTTAAGAGGTGAATTAACTTGTCAAAAGGTACAATTAATAGCTAACCTGTTACTAAAATTGTGCCAATTTCATACAGTTTGTATGTTCAGAACTTACAGGCTTCTTTTAGACTTTTTTCTCAAGAACACCAAGGAAAGTTTTCTTTATCTAATTTTCATCTTTTCTCTGAACTCAAAGTTTTTCTTTTTAATCTTTTTGCACACTCGCTGTCAGTGATAGGGATTATAGGAGGAGTAGTGTTTTTACTGATAATCGGTAACTAAAATAGGGCCAAATGTGCCTTCCTAATTTTCAATTTAAGACTTAAATGGTACCTACCTGATTTTCAAAAATATGGTGTATACTTTACACCATACACCAATACAAAGGTGTATTCCTTTACTAAAGGAATTAGGAAGTGGGACTCTAGTGAATGGCCTTCAGGAGTTTTCCTCTACAATCGAATACTTTCTTCACCTTTCAGCAAATAAAAGACTGTGGCTCTTCTAGAGGTATAAGGCAGCTGGAGATGCATGGAGGGGCTGTTCAAATAGGAAGTCAGTTATTTATGTAGTTTCTAGCCTGAAAACTACATGGAGGATTTTTTCCCCCTGGAAAATGAGGTTTAGATGAATTTTTATGGTCATCACATGATATTTAAACATGCTTATATGCTGGTGGTATTTCAAAACATTGATCAAATATGCACTGCACACTTAATTCATTTGTATACCTTGCAGAGAAATTTATTGGGTAGTAAGGCAAATGAAAGTTAAATAGCAACTTTTAACACTTCCCACCATTAGAAAAGATGTTACCTCACAGAGGTAATGTGTGTGAAAAGCTTAGTAAGCTAAAGCAGAGTAAGGGGCAGCTTTCCCACTTTTGGACCACCATACAAACTTCTTTCATATTTTAAGCAAAGTGGAGCTTCTTGTAACTGCCTCTCATTGTTCCTGTCAGAATAACTCAAATCCCTACCAACTCCACAGGATGATCCTTTGGGTGTTTGAGGACAGTCACATCACCACCCTCCAAGTCTTTTTTTTCCTCCCCATTGAGACCACCTGGTTGTTTCTTTCTGTATTTTCTAGAGAGTTCTTGAGTCCCTGCCTCTTGCCCCAGTACTTCCTTGTATTTCTCTTCTAGATGCATTCATTATTGTTCCTCAGTAGTCTTAAAACTTCACACAGTCTCTAGCTGTTGACTGAGCATCATGAAATGTAACTTGTGAATTACTTCTTTTGTTCTGAATACTAGAGATTTGTTAAATTAGCCTATCAGTTTTTTGGGGGAGGTGGAGGGAAGACAGCCCTTCTATAACTGATTATACACAGTTTCACACAACATAGTTTATTTCAAAGGTTTCATGTTGCAGTGGGCTGCCTCTTCTAAACCAAGATCCAGGATGTCTTTTATTTGTTACAGTATCTTGTTAGCTTTGGGTCATCATTCAGGCCTTTGAGGTCCTTATTATCCATTATTAGGTTTTTGAGTTGTTCTACAGATTTGACAAATAGGTCTTTGAGTCTTCACCAAAAATTTAGACAGGACAGGACCAGAGTTCTGTAGCTATGCTTTTAGATCTGTCTTTAACTAGACTTCTCCCCCTCTTGCTTACTAATAAACCTTCTCTCTCAAAATTTTTATAGGTCTGCCAGGAATTTGAGGGGGCCTTAGCTAGGTGTTCTGGCTTGAAGTCTCTCGAAAGTTGCAATCAATATATTGGCTACAATAGCAGTCAACTGAAGGCCTGACTGGGCCTAGGGGATATTTCTAAGGTGGTTGCTTCATATGCCTGGCAAGCTGGTATTGATTATTGGTCTAGCTTTGTTTCATTCCATTAGCACTTTGCTGGAAGAGAATTCACTCAGCTATGGATAGAATTGTATTGCTATTCTCAATGCATTTCTGTCTTGCTCACAAAAATAGTATGCCGATCTGTCAAATTTCTTGCAAAACACGGTCTGTATAGAATTCCCCTCCTACTAATTAGGAATCTCTTTATAAGGAAGTTTGGTGTGTCTTATTCTTAGGAAAGCTATATTGTTTTCTAGTGATGACCATTAAATTTTTTAAGTTATCTGTTTTAGCATTTTGCTAGTAAGTCATTAATAGCAGTAACAGCTGCAGTCACATAGACGAATCTTTCTCTCTCGTTTAACATAAAGCAATACTCATCTATATCAGGCTGTTTACTTTGAACAAGGTATGTGCTTGTCATAGTATAGCATGTGTCTCAACTCTTTAGTTTCAGTGTTACTACTGATATAAAATTTATCTCTGAGGAAAGACTGATGAAAGTTCTTTGAGGGTTAGTTTAGGGAAGAAAGAGGAAATAAAGTTGAAATAGGTTAGGGCACATATACATGCATCTTTTAGCACAAAATTATGGTTATATATACCTGTCAATCTCTCCCATCCAGGAACTATTTAAGAACCACAGCTGTGTATCATCTTTATTCATTTAGTACATAAGACAGTGTATCTGTTACATAGCATGTATGCTATTAATATTTGATAAAAATTTGGTAAAGAAGGAAATTTTAAAAGTCCTTACTTCATTCTGCAGGTGATAGGAAATATATGAGTTAAACTGTTACCATTTCTGTGATTGAGGCTATCAGGGCTTGAATTAGGGTGATGGCAGAAGTTAAAATAAGAGGCAGGCTGACTATGCAAAATTCTATGCAAGGGGACTGCTTGTTTGTTATTAGGAAATCGGCACATATGTTCTGGTAAGTATTTACCATGGATGCAATTTGAGGGAAACCTTTTTTTTGTTTGTTTGTTTTTTAAAATTTATTTCTAGGAGAGAGAGAGAGACAGCATGAGCAGGGGAGGGTCAGAGAGAGAGGGAGACAAAGACTCTGAAACAGGCTCCAGGCTCTGAGCTGGCAGTCAGCACAGAGCCCAACACGGGGCTCGAACCCACGAACCGGGAGATCATGACCTAAGCGAAAGTCGGACACTCAACTGACTAAGCCACCCAGGCGCCCCGAGGAGGGAAACCTTTTTAACTTAAGTGCTTTAGTTAATCTCTAGAATGGCCTTTGATTGGTTTCTATTTTAATCTATAGACTAGCTGTGTTTGATGTGGCACATACTTTCAGTAGAACCATAACAAATTTTTGTAGTCATTTGATCTCTTGGATGAATTCTATTTTTTTATGAGTCACTAATAACTTTCAAAACATTATTATTACAGGTGGAACAGAATCCATTGTTAGGGTTTGGTGCTATAGCCATTGCTGTGTTGTGCTCAGGATTTGCAGGTAAATCATAAATGCATTACTTTATTCTGTTAAATTTTTGTGAAAAACATTAAACTTTAAATAGGGATCGAATTTACCTTATTTTATCATAACAATTTTATTCCCAATAAGGCTTATCTTCCTGCTTACAGTTTTGTGTCAGCTGTTTTTTCAGTAAATGCATGGTAGTGTTCAGTTCATACCCAAGACATTACTCATATCTCCAGTAATCTAAGAACATACTTATGTCGTGTTGACCATCTTCAGTCCAGATAAGAGCCCCAAAGTGAACAGAGACTTCTGAAAATGGAGGAAGTTAGCAATTAGAAAGCTCAAAGTACCTCTTTCCATTTCCTGGAAGTAGCACTATCCTCAGGCAAGATTCTGTTGCTTTAGGATATGAACTTACCAGCTCAGTACCAGTTTTTTCTGTTCAGTAACCTCAAACAGATTAGGAATTATGAAGTAGGGAGAACAGGAGGTGGGGTGGAGAGTGAGTACCTCACTAAAAAGTTAATACATTAACAGCCAAAAAAGGGAGGGATGAGAACCAAAATCATTAACATCAAATATACATGGAAGTCTAGAGTCATATGTGTAGGAACAATCCTCCACTTAATCAAGAAGAGACAAGGTATGAATGTTAAATGCAAAATGTGTTTTAGAAATAGTTCCAACAGAGAAGAACCTGAATTTCTTTTTTTAAATAAAGTATATTACTCATAGCTATGTTTTTATTATTTATCTTTATTCGTGCTATTTCAGGAGTTAGGATTCTGTTTACTTTTGACTAGGAAAGTAGGCTGGATATTGAAGTAACATACTGCTTGTGAAAAAGACCTTTGATAAAAGGGGAAAATTTAATTAAGAAATATATTTAATGATAGCATCCTGCGAAATTTTTATTCTTAGGAACTAGCAAATTAGAAATAAAAATTGAGTTACCCAAGAAATAATATGCTATTAGATTTTTAGCACCATTTTGAACAATTAAATAAATGTTTGTGTCCAACATTCTATTTATGTCAGCCTCTTCATACTCAACTGAGGAAATACTGGGTGGTTTAATATCTCTTTATTCTTGGGACAACTGAGCACTGAATAGTTAAGTGGTTTTCCCAGATAGAACATTAAAAAATGGAAATAGGAGTAACCATTACATGTTTGTTCCCATTCTCTGCCTCTAATACACATTCACCAGAACAGTCTTTTTTTCCATTATAGTTTTTAGTTGATTAGTATTTGAGTGGCAGGTTCTAAGTGTATAATTAATAATGGTGTTTATAATGAAAATCTTTAATGTCCTTGAATGTCTGCATGTATTCATTTTAAGTATAAAACTTAACAGTAATGGTATGTGATTTTTGTGTGTATGTGGTGAGGAGTCATTTGCTTTTCTGGAGTATCTGAAAAAGCTATGGACCCTCAACTCCAAGAAAATGCACATACATACAAAATGTATTATCTAGTGAGAGAGTTAGTTCATGGTTCTTCTGACATTAAGAACTTGGCTGTGGAACCCTGCTTTAAAGGAAAATGGCTTCACTCAGCAATTTCTATTTAAATTTTATTTTGGTTGTGTTACTCTGAAAAAAATCCCAAGTGGTGATTATATAGGCTATTTTGCAAAGCTGGGAGTTTTCATTACTAGGCAGATATTATAGGGATATGATTAAGATAATTGACTCTAATAGTATATTTTTCTAGCTGACCAAAGCCAAGTCTATTATTGGCATTAACAGAGAGCTTCTGTGATCTTACTGCTACAGTAATGGGAAAAACTGATCTTAATAATTTACGAGTCTCCTGTTGAACATGGGTTAGAAAATTCTTAGTTACTAATTTTATATGCTGTATAAAAATAACATGTTGCTAATGTTAATATGCCATGTGTCACAACCAATATAATAAATGTGCGTTTGATTAAAATGCGTTTGTTCTCTGAATCATATACTTTTACATTGTCCTATCTCTAGGTTATTGTTCTAAATGAAGGGCATTTAAGTTAATTTTTAATATCTTTCATATTTGCATATCTGTTTTTTTTTTCCAGGAGTATATTTTGAAAAAGTTTTAAAGAGTTCAGACACTTCCCTTTGGGTGAGAAACATTCAAATGTATCTATCAGGGATTGTTGTGACATTATTTGGCGTCTACTTGTCAGATGGAGCTGAAATTAAAGAAAAAGGATTTTTCTATGGTTACACATATTATGTCTGGTTTGTCATCTGTAAGTATCCAGGAATTAAAAAGTTATGGGTAGATCCTTTTTTTTTTTTAAAGCTGTTTTAAGCCTTTATAGCATTTTGAAATTGTTCCTTTGATACTGTGAACACCAGTTTGAAAATGTAATTTTGGTTTTATTGACTGATTTTTGTGGCATAGCTATCCCAAAGCAATTTTGCCTTCATGATCAGAAGTATGTAATGTGTTAGCAATAACTGTGTACAATTTAGTAGTAGAGCACAAAGCCCTCTGGGCACGTGAAAAACAATGTTGTGTCGTAGGAACTATTACTCGATTTTAGTACAAACTCTCTCAGATGGCTGCTTCTAAGGAAAATAGTATTTTCCTAGGTAAATTAGTATGGCATCTCTGGGGGTGAAAATTGCTTCACCATCATAGAATGTTTCATTTTTGAGTGTAAAGATTTTATTTCTTTTTGTATACAAGTTCTTGCAAGTGTTGGAGGCCTCTACACTTCTGTTGTGGTCAAGTACACAGACAACATCATGAAGGGCTTTTCTGCAGCAGCAGCCATTGTCCTTTCTACCATTGCTTCAGTGATGCTGTTTGGGTTGCAGATAAGTATGTCTTCGTTTGTATTTTTAAGTTTTTAAAAGAGCTTCTCACTTCGTTGATTCATTAAATATGACAGTTGGTCACAAATTCCTTGTTTTGTTACAGTTTATTCTACAAGTATAGCAGTTCATAGTTGTATGGGATGTGGGTCAGCAGTACTGAGGTTGTTCCCATGGTTTTAGAGCTTAGCTGAGGGGTACTGGTTCTACTGAAAGTGACAGGGCTACTGATAACTACAAAGCCTTTCTGTACTCAGGACCTCCCTGTTCCCCTGGTTTTAGACACAAGACAACCTGAGTACTTCTGGGTGAATATAGTATAATTAGGTTTGCAAGGAACTACAAAGACTTTAGGGAATGATTACTTTAAGCAATGCAGTTACAGTAAACAAGTCTTTTTATGAGGAGGAAAGAACAGAAAATGCTTTCATGTCCCCCTTAGTTTGTACCTTCCTAACTTTTGGACTTAGGTATAAATTGGTTTTGAAGCAACAATCCAAATCTAAATATTTTCTCTTTTATAAAAAGGTATCTTTGTTTCCTTTAATATGTAATTAGTACAGAATTCATTATTATAGCTGGTATTGTGGGATCATCAATATGCTAGTCCTTCCAATATAGGTTTCCCTAGCCTCACTCAGCATTAAGTTGGCTCCTGAATTATCAAACATTTCAGGGTGCTGTAATAATCATTTTGTTTACTGATCAGTTGTAATACAATATGTGAACTATTGGCAATAAGTAAAACAAACAAACCTGACCTATATTTATGTTTGATTTTAAAACTGATTCTTGTTATGGATGCAAATAGAGGAACACCAAACTTGTAGAAATCTTTAAAAAAATTTATTAGTTGTACAACCTTGGGGAAGTTACTTAACTTGTGTCTCAGTTTCTTCATCTGTAAAATGGGATGGACAGACAGTATCACCCATCTCCTAGGGTTGTTTCAGGTAAAGTGCTTAGAATAGTGCCTGGCACACAGGAAGTATTCTGTAGAAGGCCAACCACTTACCATTTCAGTATCAGTGTATTTAGATATATTTCTTACCTGATCTGGGTGAGAACTTTTAATTGTAGTTCTGATTCTTATGCTCAACAAATCCTTATGCCTTTGCTCCTAAGGAATACTTGGGGACAGTGAAAAAAAAAATGCTTTTGGTCAGTGTTCTTACTGATGATGGTCAAGGAAATTAATTAAAACATCTTACCAATTTCAATTTTCTGTTTAGATTTAACATCCCCCCCCTTTTTTTTTTGACGGGAAAGTTAGTCTTCTCTAGTTAGGAGTGAAATAAAATCATAGCTTGATGTCATTTCTCTGCATGCCATTTTTAAAACTAGTAAGATCATGCTGTTGTGTACTCCATGCAGAATTTGGTTCTGTTTTGAATAGAATACAGAGTTTTGACATAGATTTTGACATAAGCATTTATGTATAAAATGCTTGTCAAGTTGTGATTTATGTCCTGATTTTCAGGATTAAGACCAAAACAAGGAATTGTACTCCGAATCACCACCTGATCACCTTTTCAGAAATCTTCAGTCATTTTGAGTCATTGATTACCTAACTCAAAATTCTGTGCTCAACTACCTTTTACGCTATAAATTTTTACAGGTTTTGAGTATCATGGAAAAGCCACAATCTACTAGCGTATGGTCGTGGGATGGGGGTGGTGGTGGTGGTGCCTGGGTAGCTCAGTTGGTTGAGTATCTTGATTTTGGCTCTGGTCATGATCCCAGGGTCATGGGATTGAGTCCCATGTTGGGTTCAGCATGAAGCCTTCTTAAGATTCTCTTAAAAACAAAACAAAACAAAAAACCTTTAAAAATTAGCATATAGAGAAGTTAGTATGTTCTTTGCCAGTAGTCCAGGATAGGTATATTTGAATTTTCAAAAAACATATAGTCACTCCCTTTGATTGTACCTTTTTTTGGGGGGGGGGGCAGAGAGCTAGAAATGATTAGAGCACCTATTTTCCATATGATCTAATGGTATAACCCTATAATTAAAAGATTTCAAAATTTAAAATGGATTATTGTTATATAGTGTCAAGGACACAAATACAGATTAAACTTTTTTTTTTTTTTCTTTTCAGCACGCACTTTTGCTCTGGGTACTCTTCTTGTATGTGTTTCTATATATCTCTATGGATTACCCAGACAAGACACTACATCTATCCAACAGGGAGAAACAGCTTCAAAAGAGAGAGTCAGTGGTGTGTGATTTCAGCCTCAAAAGACTCCTACTGAGACTAAACTGTTGCATTAAACTAGAGCCTTAAGTCAATCTGAGAAGGTAGCTTAAACAAAATACTGTGTCATAAGAAGAAAGCTATCTGACCTGTTTTGGGTTAACCTGTTTTGTTTTAGGATGAAAGAATTTTACTGTATATATATTGTATATAAAAAAGTATGGAGAAGATATGATGTTAAATACAAAAATCATGTGAGGATACAACAAAGTTTGGGACAAGGGTAAGGGTTAAAGTGCCAAAGCCATTTTTGTACGAACTGTTTTCTTGTTCAGGAACCAGGGGAGAAGGATGACCTCTCCTTGTTCTCCAATTCATGTACAGGATTTCATCCCAGCAGCAGTAAAGCCCTAGCTAGCTCTTTCTTAAAAAAGAGAGGCAGCCAAGACAGGTTAGTTCAGAAACAGACTGAGACTGTTTAACTTCTCACACTGAATCTATTTCATAATGCAGGCAATGACTTCTGAGTGGTGAAGGAGTACTCCTGTAAGTGCTGTATTTGTGCCATTCATTGTCTGGATTCGTATTTCTTTGCTGTTAGATGATCTACTTTTTCTTCAAAAAATATTTCTAATGTCACTTTTGTACTTTTTTTTATAAAGTATGTTTAAAAATATTGGGCTGTCAATAATTTGTGAATTTCAGTGTTTTTAAAAATTTTTCTATAATGTTAATGGGAAAATTCAGCAATAAACTTTATTTATATGCAATCTCATCATTTTTTGTATTGTGATTATGACCACTAAGATAATGCAAAATGTAAAAAAAAATTTTTTTTTCATTTTTCCTATGTTGGAACTATATCAGGGTTCTTTGATCACATATAAACCAACTCTTGGCTAGCCTTAAGCAAAAAATAGTTTATAATTTATAAGAAGGACTACAATCAGCAGTAGGGCTCTAGGTTGTAGGAGATCACGAACAGTCTTTAGGGAGCTGCTTTTGGAAAGACTGGCCTGTGTCATTCACTCAAAATTCAAATACTGAGGTGGCTACCACACATCTGGAAGGGGTAATGTTTCTCCAAACAAGTGGAGAAGAGTATAGAACATGAAAAACATGTTCCAAGTATACATTTTTATTCCATGGCTAGTTTGTGCTAAGGAAATATTAATGACGCATCAAGTAAAAATTAGTAATCGAGGGGCACCTGGGTGGCTCAGTCAGTTGAGCATCCAGCTTCGGCTCAGGTCATGCTTTCGGGGTTCATAACTTTGAACCCCACACATCAGGCTCAATGCTGTCAGCTTGTTAGCGCAGAGCCCGCTTCAGATCCTCTGTCCCCCTCTCTCTACCTGTCCCCTGCCTGTGCTTTCCGGAAAGTAAAGATTAAAAAACAAAATAAAACAAAACTTAAGGTTAGTAATGTGGAAGCTAACTTATTTAAAATTGAGACTGCAAGGGGGAGTCTTTTCTAGGACTAAGAAGGTGTACTGTACATGCCGGTATAAAACTATGTTCGTTCAACTTGAGAAGCTTTGGTTCATGCTAATTTGCTTCTTTATTTATAAAACTAGATTGTTACTGGTATTCAAAAGACTCTTAGTAGTAGCAACATTTAAATTGTAGCAGACCTGAATGGAAATACTGGCAGATGAGGACAGCCATACTAATCAAACAGCACATCCCACATGTTACCTAAACAAATCACACAAAATATCCTTGACTGATATGTAGGTAGGTACATGAAAGAAATGGTTTAAGAAACTCCATTTCAAATTATGGTTTAACGGACTAATTTTTACAAAAAGCTCCCAGCACAATACCTGTATAAGTAATTCCTTGTTATTTTCACACAGTAAGAGTTACCTACCCGTACAGATCAATATGAGATAAGCACGAGATCTGTTCTCTGGGAGTGGGTGTCAGCTGTATTGGCAAAAAAGCTTAATTCTGGTGTCCTTAAATTGATTTAAAACTAGCCATTATTAGAAAATTGAAATGTTTTCATTAGTTTTATCTGATGCAACCATTAGATAATCTCAATTACGAGAACAGCTTCTGGAAGAATGACACTGTAAAAAACCTCAAGCTGCCCCCTTAGCCGCAGTGAATTTTACAAGATTTAGTTAGTTTTACAAAACTCTGTTTAGTACTTAGGGACAACTCAGATGATTTTCTTAAGATAAAGATTTAATAAGTTGATAAAATCACTTAGGCTTAAAAAATATAGATTCTGATACAGAACAGTTTAAATTCTAAACAAAGCATTTAAGAATAGAGAACTAGAATTCACTTAGTAATTAAAAAGCTGTTTTAATTAGAAATTACATCCTACATACAGGTGTTATTCCAAGAAGTTTCATTCCATTGGCTAGGACAGAACGCACAGCTCTGAAAAGATGAAGTCTGGCCTACAAAATAAAACAAAGGGTGATTAAATGTTCAACAACAGGCTAACAATAAGTGAGTAAAGAAGAGTATCTTTAAGAATAATTCTAACTTTTTTCTAATTTAAAGTAGGAACAGTACCTAGGATTTGCTGTGCAATGAAAAGCAAATACCTAGCATCCCATAATTTATAGTATGACCGGTACCTAAGAGTTGGGGACTGGGAAAGACAGTATCATTATACAGTACAGCTTCAGATACGGGGAACTCCTCACTCTCAGGAAAATGTGTTTCATAGTCCAATATGTTGGAAAATCTATAAACACTGATTGTTATAGCCCAATTCTAAGTATCACCTGAGTCTATAAGTACACCACTGTAGTTAAACGAGCTGCTGTTTTAGAAACATTTACAAGACTGACTCAGTAATATTAACGTGAGGATACTAAAGATAACACAGAAAACACTTAACATACCCCAGCCACTTCAGGAGGACTGTCTTTTATATGCAGTGTCTTATGTGCCATACCTGCAAGATGACTGAAACGGGAAGAGAGAAATGAAGACCAGCAGTAATTTCCTGTTGTAGCATAGAAGCTTGGTATCTTATTCCCTCAACTTAAAAGAAATCAAAGCCTAGAGCCATTAAAGGATGTATCCAATAGTGCAAAATTGAATACTGTGTGTCTGTAGTAGGAAAACTAAAACACATTAAAACTAAAGCTTTAATTTTGGTCCTAATACCTTAAGTTCTTAAGGTGATGAGTTTATAAAGATAGGGGATTCCTTTCTAATAATTAGTTTTTTCTCACTTAGGCATCTTTAGGATGAAAGGTATAATGTGGCCTGGACTTCCCCCTCTGTACAGTGTGGAGGAGGGCAGCTATAGACTAGCTATCAAACACAAACAACACAAACACTGGCCACTCTTCTTTCAAGCGTCTTTTCTGTTCAGGTATAGCAGCAAATAGAACAATGTGCCAGAGGAACGATGCTTATGACATTTGTTTCAATGATTAACTGACTCAAAAATATATTTATTTATTTATTTTTGGGAGAGTGCAAGCAGGGGAGGGGCAGCGAGGGGGACAGAGGATCCAAAGTAGGCTCTATGCTGACAGGCTGACAGCAGAGAGACCAATGTGGAGCTTGAACTCATGAACCAAACCGTGAGATCAGACATGAACTGAAGTAGGGTGACCAATTGACTGAGGCACCCGGGTGCCCTTTAACTGACATTTAATAAGACTTTCTGGCTTCTTTATTTCTCTGACTATGCAGAATTTAAAGGGAAAATTTTTTTTATTTAAATCTGGGGAAGATAGGTAGAAATAATTAAGAAAATAGCCCCAATAAATCTGATTTCAGCAAATCTTGAGCAAAAGCAAGTATTTCCTTTCTTAAATAGATTTACAGAAAGATAACAGCTGTTGCTCTAAAAGATACTCAACTTCTATTCAGAATTTCTGAAATAGCTACTATGAAATTTCTACTGAAGTGTCACTGATTTACCTTCCAATTCGTTCTCTATTCTCTAGCTGACTGATTTTTCTGTCTCTGCTTAAAATCTTTTTATGGACTCCACTGCCCTAAAAATAAGCTGAAATGCCCTAATACATCCAAAAAGGCAAAGAGCACTCATTTCTCACCCCTCCCAGGACTATGCTTATAGTTCCTTCAGTGTATCATCTTCATGTTCAACTCTGGGCATTTTCTTCCTTTTCTGTGACCTTGCTTACCCTGATTAATATCAACTCCTCTCCTTCGAAAAGCCCCCTCTGATCCATTAAGGCTGGGCTGAGTCCCCTAACACTGTCTCTTATGTTCACTCTATCGTAACACACATGTGTTGTTATGTAACCACCAGTGACAAAGCTGTTGGTTCCCGTTCAACAGCCTGTAATGAATGTACCTTATATCGCTGAATGAATAAATGAACACTAATTGCTGATTTGCAAAGATGAGGCAAGAATTCCTGTAACTTAAAGTACCTCATTTTTTAGGTTTTGTTTATAGGAAAACTTTAGAAAAAAGGTCCTTTTTCAGATCAGGGCTCAGAGGTCTTCAATACCTGAAAACAGCAAGATTACAGGTACCTTAGAGTTAGAAGGTAACTGGCAATATGCCTGGGTTGAAGGTCCTGAGATGATCTATAAAGCACCTCGTCGAACCTAAAAGAAACATGACAAGAGCAGTTGGCAGAGGAAGACTGCATGTATTATACTAAGCTGTTAAGATCTTGGATGTAAGGCTGACATCATTAAGAGTGGAAGGTATCTGAAAAAGGACCTTGGGTGCATTTGAAGGTAAAGGTATAGTTTTCTTTCTTACAAATTCCTTGATGGCAAGTACTTTCTAAGTCATCTTGATATCCCTTAGGCCTAGCCTGGAACAAGGACTCAAATCATGGCTGTTAAACTGAATGTAAAAAGTCTCCAGCCATGTTTAGGAACATAATCTAGAAGCTAACAAACACAGTCTACCTTCAATGCCAAGGAAACCAGGTTAGCTTATTTTTCCTACCACGTTAACCAAATGTGAGAAAACGGACTCTTGATCCCAGGAAAGAGTCACTGACCACTGTGTGGCCATCAGAGAAAACTTCCTTGTTGTTAACCATCGACATCCTTTCCAGAGACTAGTATCTTCTGACAAGTCTGGCTTTACCAACAGTGCTTGTGAGAGCACAAAGGTGTGGTCTCTTGCCCAGTATAGGGTCGTCAAGTAGACATTTATTTGAGACTGTGAACTGAAACCGTGAAGCAAATGAAGGACTTACGGTTTCATGGAAGCTGTACAAAGGCAGAGACCTTCCTTCACTGATCAAAGAGGGTGAGGAGAAGATGATCTTTTCCAAAACTAAAAGTTTGTGTTTTTACTAGGCTTTCTATTCCCATACCCGACCTAGAAGGTGTTAGGCACCTGTGCCGATTCAGCACTGATGATATTTTTAAGTCCCAAGGACTGACCCTGACCCTGCCTCAAAGGGCAGATAATTGCTTTTTGGCCATACCTCCAGGAAAGTGCTCGCAGTCTGGTGGGGGGGGGAGGAGGAGGGATGGGGAGGGAGGAAGGTAGGAGCTGGCTACCAGCTTACTCACTCCCATCATAAGCAACCCCCCCAAGTCATTTCACTAAACAGACAAAGACTGGATAATACTACAAACACCATACCTGAGAAGATGCTGAAGAATGGAAACAGATTGTGGTTCTTGTAAACAAGCAGCGTTGAACTCATTTAGATAACCGCATCCAAAAGTCTCTTCCAAACTGTTATCAAAAGTTTA